TAGTGGTAAGGGTAAATGATCCTTCCTAGTGGCATCTTTCAAGCTTCTATAATCAATGTACACTCTCCACCCTCTCACTGTATAAGTAGTAATAAGCTCATTCTTCTAACTTGCCACTATCGTCATACCACTTTTCTTCGGGACCAACTGTGTCGGGCTCACCCACTAACTATCGGAGATAGGATAGATGATCCCAACATCCAATAGCTTGATCAATTATGCTTTCGCCACTTCCTCTAGGTTAGGATTCACCCTTCGTTGAGGTTGACGGACCGGTTTGATGTCATCTTCCATGAGGATCTTATCTGGGCAGAAAGAAGGGTTAATTCCTCGGATTTCAGTAATCTTTCATGCAATTGCCCTTCCATGTTTCCTCAAGAGATCTACAACCTTCTCTTCTGCTCTAGGGTGAGATCCAAGCTAATGATGACAAGAAGTTTTCCTCCTACCCTTAAGAAGGCATAATCAAGGTGGCTAGGTAGGTGCTTCAACTCGAACTACGAGGGTTCTTCCAAAGAAGTGGGGATCTTGGAAGATAAAGATAATGGATCTACCCCCAGTTCGTGCTCCGATATTTTAACTTCCTCCGTGCTAGCGAGATGATCCTCCACCTGAAGTTCCTCCAAGTCATGTTTTCTAACATGTCTACCATGTACGTTGTATGGTTTGGTGTATATTTGATGGTACGGCTAACACTTAATTTATAGTGTTTATCACTCTCATATTTGTTACATTTTCCCCTTCTATCAATGCATCTTCGATACTTTCTCTTATATTTTATATCTAAATCATAAATATTTGATCAATGGCATTTAATAGACCTAGGTTGTGTTTTTCTATTCTTTTATCTTAGAACCATCAAAATCAAACAAGCCCTTAGTTAACAGGAAAATATCATGAGCAAACTCACCACAACCAAACAGGTTGACTCCCTCATTTCTTCCCATCACACTTTATATCATCTAACACTTTTTCGGTAAATAGAACTTTCTATTAACCACCCGCTTGGCAAAACCGCACAAGAGATTGAAAAATACAAAGGCAAAAGCCTATAGCAATCCACATAGGAAAAGAAACGAAAGAAAAACCTACTACGCTATGCATAGACAACAGCTAGCAGTTTTCAGAATCTTATTAGGAATTCTGAGTTGTTATAGCTATAGAGACGGATCTCCTCACGAAGAATCTCAGCCAATGCATTCACAAATCGTTGTTGCTCCCCAAAAACCCTCCTACAACACTCCTTCCACTGAAAAAAAGGCACCAACACCAGATCGAAGCTTCAATTGCGCCACAACTACCATTTGTTCGAACTCTACTAATCATCTGAGCTATCATATCAAGCCAATAACTAGGGAAAACTACTATGCTCTTCAGAACAGCAGCAACCAAATCCTGCATGTAAACACACTATCATTACATATTGCAACCAATGTCTGATTATCATTATCTGCGTCCAAATTCAGGACCCTTTGGAGTTGACCCGAGCTTCCGAAACAGAGGCCACTCTGAGACTATAGCGTGTGTCGCAATCGTCCCTCCCGGGGTCTGTGGTCGCGTTTGCTTTTGGGAGTCGCCATCGGTCTTACTTGGAGTGGATCGAACATTCTTAGGTCGGCTCTAACCTTAGGGTCAGAACCGAGACTTGGTCTGCGATTTCGAGATATGGGTTCGGGAGTTCGGTTACGTGTGGGGAAGTGAAATCACACCCCACATTAAGTCGATAAGTTTTATATGTGTTGGGTGTTATTTTGGTAATTATTGTGTATTTTAAAATCCCACTAGATCATTAATATATTGCTTATGATTTAACTAATACGCCAATGGAAGTTTAGTTCATGATTAGGTAGTATTTTAGGTATTTTAGGGCATTACTGGACCACTAAAGAAATTAAATTGTATTAGTTGTAGTTTAATTATACGCCCACTGAAGTAAAAATTGAAGATAAAATTGATTAGTTAGTTGGACTCGAACCTTATTGGTTGCCTACGTACCCGTTAGACGGGGTCAAAGTCCACTTAGTTCGTTCGAACTTTGATAATTTAGTTGTAACCACGTTCCACTAATCGTGATTCTCGTATTAAGAATTTTGTTAATAAATTCTGAATAGGTTATTACGAGGTTGTTAAGAAAATATAAGAATTTTAGTTGTTAGGAAGATATTCGATGTATTAGAAAGAAACAAGATTAACTTAATCCGCATTCGAAATTTCGTATTAAGAATATTAAATAATAAATTGAAAATTAATGACTAAATCTACACATGATGGGCCGGTAGCCCAACTGGTTAAGTTCCCAAACAGAGAGCACGTTTGTTTTCGAGAACGAGTGTTCGAAACTCAGTCACCACCATTTTTTTTGCTCGTCATTTTAGATCAGAGACAGGGGGAAGGGTAGTCTCGTAAATTCTCAAAAACACGGTGGCAAGGCCACGTAAATTTTAGGAAACCTTAGGGGCAACTAAGTCATAAGTCCAAAGAATAATTATTGAAAGACACCCAACCGCATACATGTCAACACTTGATAACATTCTCCTCTAAGCTAATGATGCTTTCTAGAGAGACTTGAAAAGGCACCCAAGTCTACCTGGATGTATTGGCACCTCTGCCACTATCTCTCTCGGCTGCTCATGAAGATCCTACCAAAGGGAGGTTCGAGGTGATTATTAAGTTTGAGCGTTTACCTCAATTATGCTTCTTCTGTGGAGTTATCAGGCCTATTCTGTCTAAGAGGGTTTGGTCAGCTTAAGAGATTCCAAGATAATTTAGGATCTTCTGCAGTTTAATCAACAGTAAAACAACCAAAAGGAATTACGACTTGGACCTAATTGAGGAGCTAGGGGGAATCATACCTAAGTGAGTTCTCAATCTGTAATTAGTAGAGTAGTTAGTAGAGTAGGTTAGTAAATCAATCCTTAATCTAGTTTGCTAGATAATGAACTGAAGCTCAGTAATAGTAACTCTAGAGACCCGTGGATTCGATATTTATTACTTGTGTCATTATACTGCAGTCTCTTTCATTGGTTACACTTGGCCATTGTAAGGAGTTGTGTCGTAGCGTGTCACTCGCTCCGTTCTGTCCACTGTGTAGAACCAGGCGATGATGCCACTTGATAAACCCCAGGTAGGGCTTGGAATCAGATGCGCGCAGCTATTCGATTTGCAATCAAATTTCTCTCGAAACAGTAAGTGAATTGGATAGGTTTGCGGAGTAGCTCTTTCGTGCAATTGCTCACAAGGGCAGAGGCTCGAGAAGAATCGGATGAATGCTGGCCATGATCAAGAGGGAATAGCTTGATCGATACAGCAACGAGTGCCCTAGAACTCGTTCTAAGCAACTCTCAATCACAAATACGAAACTTGTGAACCAAACTTGACGTTTGTCTGCGATTAAGCAAAAACTGAGTTTACAACACAATTGAACAATCTTAAATAGACCTAGGATAGCTAACAAACTTAATACGGAAGTTCTATTCTCAAACAAACAAGGAAATCAAAATCAAAACAGAAAGGTAAAACTCCAGTCGCAATCCTCAAACAAACAAGGAAATCAAAATCAAAACAGAAAGGTAAAACTCCAGTCGCAATCCTAATCCGAATAGGATTCAAATTCTTGAGGCAACAAGACAGTTTCCTTCAGGTTTTGAATGATCTTGCTGGGCTTCGTTCGATGTCCCCCAAGCTTCGTTCCAGCTATCCAATTGATAGCATCGTATATTGCACATGTTTGCACTCTTGTTTCCTGACCATTTTAGCTCGAATTTGTGATTTCTTGGCCTATTTTACGCTAGGTTTTGTTGTTTTGTCATATCTCAGGTCCTAGCGAGTAAAGGGAGCTAGGGGGACTCATACCCGAGTGACTCTTCCCTTGCTAAAGAACTTTGAACCATTTACTGCTTTCTTACTACTTTTAGTTAAAATCACAATCACTCGACTTAGTTTACTAGATAATAGATAATCACGGAGTAGGCAGTAGATCTAGACCCCGGGTTGATAAATAGAACTTTCCACTAGTCTGCATTTCCGGACTGCGATTACACTTGGTCGCAGTTTGGTGTTGTATTTTAGTGTGTCACCAATACCACGTCGTTGGAGTAGAAACGTTGAACTTTCATGTGGTGCAAGCCGCCAAGCTCGACTTGCATCCAGGAGTTTCGACGAAAGCCTCAAAGTCATCATGTCGACCACGCTCCATGCCTTAGCCGTTTTCTGGCTATTTCCTAATTGCGATGTATGGTTTTGAGGGCCTTCAAACTCGATCCTCCCAGCTTCCTTTCGAGCTCCAAACCACTCCTTCGTGTAAAGCAACTTCCCAGCTTCCAAACAAACTATTAAAGTTGAATTTCCATAGAACCAGTAAAGAGTTCCAGACTTGTGAACTTGGTAGTTTGAAACGGTTAAAGGACTTAACCAATTTTTAGTAATGTGAACAATGCTTGAGGTCACTTGTTGTCTGGGCCATTCGAACCTGCTAAAGGACCCAATTGAGATCATATCATTATTTAATTAATTTAGCATCACTGTCTTGCTAGTACAAGAAAATTAATAGATGAAATTAAATTATTTTTCTCCCTTGGAAAACTGAAAAATGAAGACAATTAAAACAACAATTTAATAATGCTTAATAATGTGGCATCAACCGTCTTACCTCTTTTATTCTGTTTGAGCCCGATCGACTGGGGGTCGCTCGGGTCCAAGGGGTTTGGGGTGTCAGCCATGACCTTGAAAGGGTAGGCGCCCCTCCTCGTCCGAAGCAGAAGAAAAGGAGAAGTATGTAGAGAGGGAAAGTAGAGAGAAGATAGAGTAAAGAGTAGATGATCTTATTTATGAGGAGAGAACTCCTATTTATACACAATTGAGGGTTAGGTAGTGGTCTGGGCGCCTGCCAAGCCATAAATGCTCTGGTCGGGCGCCTCAGACTCTCTGACACTGTTCATAGTCCTTTTGGCAGAGGGTGTCCCCCTGCCCCTTGTCCTTGCTGATGTCAGGTGCCTGACCTTGTCTTTTGTCTCCCAGCCTTGTCTTTTTCCTCTTGTCTTCTTTCCTTCTTCATGCCATTAGCCATGATATTAATCCCTTAATTACTATGATACCCTATCAATTGCCCCTTTTGGCGATGGCACAAGCAGTGTGGCATCGGCAAACAAATATGTTCTAACAAGGTCTAAAAAATGAAGCTGAAAGGAAGGTCAACTACTAAAATAAAAAATAAGAATAAAAAATAAAAGTAAAAATGAAAATAACAAATGAAAATGAGAACAGGGAAGAATTAAAAAAATAGGTATCCATACAGGATAGGAATAAAGAAGACGAATACAGAAATACCAATTCGTAAGGATAATGCCTCTGCAATCATGGCGTCTTTGAAAAAAAGTTTTAGGGGGGATGCGAAAGCGTTACCCCCAATAGACTACTTGTGGTGGTAGTGGGTTAAACCCTCCACCAGACTCAGGCCAACTTGAGGGGGAGGGTGGATGGGTTGGGCTTTAAAGAATAGCCTGCATTGGGAAACGCCCATGTCTCCCCCACCCCCTATTTAAGCTGATTTTTCCCCCCCCTTCCTTCACTTTTTCGGCCTCTCTCTCTCTCTCCTCCTCTTTCCCTTCTTTTCGCCATCTGCTCCCTCGGCGCCCCCATCCCTTTTTCGCAGGCGCCTCTCCCCTCTCGATTCGGCGCCTTCTGCTTCCGGCCGGCGCCTCCTCCTTCGTTAGGTAAGCGCCTCTCCTCCTTCCATCACTTCTTCGCCCGCTCTCTCCTCCCCTTCTGCTCCCTCAGCGCCCCCATCCCTTTTTCGCAGGCGCCTCTCCCCTCTCGATTCGGCGCCTTCTGCTTCCGGCCGGCGCCTCCTCCTTCGTTAGGTAAGCGCCTCTCCTCCTTCCATCACTTCTTCGCCCGCTCTCTCCTCCCCTTCTTTTCGCCATCTGCTCCCTCAGCGCCCCCATCCCTTTTTCGCAGGCGCCTCGGCCCTCTCGATTCGGCGCCTTCGCTGCTCCCGGCCGGTGCCTCGTCCCTCGTTAGGTAAGCGCCTCTCCTCTTTGATTGGCTCAAAGGCGCCTCTCCCACCTCTCTTTTTCGCGGATCTTCGGCGCCTTTGTAGCGCTTTGCAAGTCCCTCGGCTCCTTTGATAATGGTTTGATGATTTGAATGGATGCTTTGTACTTTGCTTTATGTTGTGGTTTGGTGGTTTGAATGGTGACGCCTTTTGTTTGTGGTACCCTTGGCTAGGCGCGATTTTGCTTTTAGGTTACGGTATATGCATTTCCACAAGTAGTTTGGTAGTCTGGATCAGTGGCGCCTTTCTCTTTGTAGGCGCCTTGCGAAAAGTAGCGAAGGCGCTCCTTTGTAGAATTCCCTTTGGTGATTTTAATGTGATGCTGCTTGTAGGCTCCTTTGTGAAATTCCTTTGTTTGCTCGCAGGTTTCAATTCTTAGAGGCAGAGGCGCCTCCCTCTTTTTATTGTTGGTTGCTTGAATTTTGCTAGGGCGAAGCGCCTCCTTTTGCTTGTTACCCAGTTTTGATGATGCTTTTGTGGGGCGCCTCTGATGCTAATGATTTTGTGAGGCGCCTATGACGGATTTTCTTTCGTGATTTTAATGTGTCTTCTGTAGGCTTCTTCCAAAAGCACTGCTCTGCTTACTCGCGCCCTGACACTTTGTTTGCTCGCAGGTTTCAATTTCAAGGCGTCAGAAGCGCCTATCACAGCACAGTCACGGGAGGCAACGGTTTTTTACCCGCGCGTTATCGGCTTAGGCGTTGTACACGCTTCTCTTCCAAGGTTGACTTCGCTGCTTACCACTCACTCATGGCCTCCAACAATTCTCAACCTTCTGCGTCTGCAAGAGGCGCCTCTGCCTCTAAGAAAGGAAAAGAGAAGGCGTCCTCAAGCAAAGTTAGGAAGATGGGTAAGCTACTCTCTCTCTATCTCGTTAACCTTATCGTATATTTGCTGTTTGGGAATCTTAGTGGATCGAACAGTGTATAGACGATCCAAATGGAGACTCGCCGAGATTGCTAGTGACATCGAGGATGATCAGTCATATACCCGCCAGGAGGTGCTTACTGAAGATGATGCGTCAAGTGCGGACTCCGGCCCTCGTCCGCCTTCTCAGATGGTTACCGATTCAGGCTATACGATTTTGCCATGGCGGGGTATGTGGGGTGGCGAGGTGCCTCCCTCTTCGGCGCGCCTACTGGGTCCTGACAAGCGACCCAGCATTCAACTTCATCGCATTGTATCTTATATCCGCGGCCTCGGTTACCCTACGGATTGGGGATATGCGATTCCGGATCGTAATGCTCGCATCGGGAGTTGTCCCGAGGGTTGGTTTGCGGTTTACTCGGAGTATCTGAAGTGTGGTTTGAAATTCCCCTTGGATCCTATTTTGTCGGGTATTTTGGAGATGGTTGGATGCCCTCCTAGCTTCCTGTCCCCTTCGCTTATCTTTCACACTTGCGCCTTCCGACTCATCTGTAAGCGCCTAGGTTACACCCCTTCATTCTCTATCTTTCGTAGCATATATGCATTGGAGCGGGGTAAGCATGGCTGGTCGGCGGTGAAGCGCGATAGTAAGTACCAGGGGCGGGTTTGCAAGGGATCACCTAAGCTCCCTAGCAAATGGTATTGCTCTTACTTCTTTATTAGGCCGACCCCCGGCACTTGGCATGCGCCAACTTCGGCGCCTCTCTCGACTCTGTGGGGTGAGGGTTCGGAAGAAACTTGGGCTAAGGCTTTTACCCTTGCGAAGTCTGAGCGGGAACAGAAGCACCACATTCTTCGTGCTCCCCCTGTGGATTTTGGGAGAAAAGGGGAGAGAGCGCGCGCCCTGGGAGAACTTTACGACCATGGTATATTTCTTTCGAATGATTTTATTCTGTGTCCCAACTTATGGTATTTGCATAACTCTTTTTTTTGCAGATTTTGACTACTCGAGCCTAGCGAAGATGACTAAGACGATTCCTGGGACTTCCAGAGCTAGGGCACAGAAGGCGCCTAGCATCCCTGCCGAGCGAACGCCCCGTTCATCTGGCAAGGCGTTTGATGATGTCGAGGAGGCGTCTCCTCGACTGTTTCCTTCCTTGGGGTCGCGCGACCCTCTCCCAGAGAAGACCTTAGGCAAGCGCCATGCCTCGGCTGACTCTCCCATTGTGGTTCCGAAGAAGAAGAACAAGCCGAGCCTTGGGAGCATTGATGAGATTTTGGCACCTCCTCGCTCACGACGTGCCGTAAAGCCGAAGGAGCCTGTTCCAATCTCTCCGTCCGCTGCTCTTAATGCTCCAAGCGCTTTTACTTCGGCCTTGGAGTTGAAGAAGTTCCTTAAGGTTCCCCTTGACGAGGGTACCTCTCCTGCAGGCTCGGCGTGTCAGCACTTGTTCCAGGTATGCTCCCACACACTTTTATTATTAGTAGATCATGCTTCATTACTAATTGTTGTTGTCTCTTGTTTAGGCGATGCTTGAGGTGATTACTCTTTCTGACAAGAGTGCGGAGAATCGGGATCGTGCCCATCAGAACTTTCTGCAGGCTTCTCAGTTGAAAACTGACAAGATCACCCTCCAAGGTGTTAACTCTCGTCTGGAGGATGAGTTGGCATCGGTGAAGCGACAGCTTTCAGATGCCTTGGCTGCTGAGAGTGTTTCTGCTCGTGAAGAGAAAGAGAAGGAGATAGCCTTCCAGGCGAAGCGGATTGATACCTTGGAGAAGGAGCTGTTGGCGATGTCTGCCGCTAGGGGTCACCAGAAGGTGAGTTCTCTTGTGTCTTTCTCGCTCTCCCTTCATTTGAGCTAGGCGCATAACCACACACACTCTCTCTCTCTTTTTTTTAGGAGGAATTTAAGAAGAGACTGATCAAGGAGCGTGAAGATGCCGTAGATACCCACTTGTCATCAGCGGAATTCCGTGAGTGGCAGCAGAACCTGCTGCTCGGAGTAAAGAAGAGGGCTTTCATCGGCATTCGCAAGAAGGTCCGCTCCGATAATCCTGACATGAAGTGGGATACTCCGGAGGTCTGGCAGGCTATGGATGACTACTTCCTCTCCCTTGGTACGGATAACGAGCCTTCTGACTCGGACCCGTACCCCTTAGACGAGGGTGACTCTTCTGCCGATGATGTGGAGGTTGACGTTGAGAAGGTTGGGGAAGAGGGAGTAGGTGACAACGTTGATGCCAATGCTGGTGCCGGGGAAGGTGGTGGGGACGTGGTTGCTGTTGATGGTCAGGGTGGCGCCTCGGATGGTGGTACCGATGGTGACTCTAGCTCGTCCGACAATCATTCGAGCAAGTCAGACTAGTAGAGTTGGGACGTTTTTTCTTTTCCTTGTTCGTTTGGACTTAGTCACTTTTTATGTTATCTTCTGCTCATTTCTCCTTTGCATGTCTGTGGATGTTTTAGCCTTCGGGCTGTTATTTTGGAACAGCGTTATCAGTAAGTTTTCCGTTTTCTTGGACCTATTGTGAATGTTGTTTCATTCCTGTCATATATTTGATAGGAAGTGGTAACGCGCCCAGGCTCTTTCTTTTTGGGTCGCCCATGCGTATTCTTGAAAAAGAAGCGGCGTGTCTAGGCTTCTCCTCGACGGAGGAAGCAAGTTTTAGGTTTCCTCACACGTATTCTTGAAGAAGAAGTAACGTGCCTAGGCTTCTTCTTCACGAAGGAAGCAAGCTTTAGATTTCTTCACACGTATTCTTGATGAAGAAGTAACGTGTCTAGGCTTCTTCTCGACGAAGGAAGCAAGCTTTAGGATTCCCATGCGTGTTCTTGAAAAAGAAATAACGCGTCTAGGCTTCTCCTCGACGGAGGAAGCGGGTTTGGGTGACCCCTTCTGCCGAGGCAGGAATTTTTACGAGGGATCAATTTTATCGCCTCTCATGGGGACTCGCACAACGAGCGCCCGATACTTGGATGAAAACCAAGTGTAAGCGCTAGGGCTCTTCCGCCGGTTCGCGGGAAAAATGTTCCGCTAGGATGCTTATCCTAGACAAAAACTTAGCTTTTCTTCCGTGTGCTCTTGAACAAGAGGAAACACGCTTAGGCTTCTCCTCGACGGAGGAAGCGAGTCAGGAGAGACTCCATCTGTTAAAACAGGGATAGTTTTGCTTTGCCGAGTAATGAGTCTCCATTCCTTGAGCAAAATAAAGGGTTACATGGGGTATCGCCAGGGTGCGTCCCCTTTCCCATAAACTTCTATCAATGACAATCTGAAGAATGACTCCTATGCTGCTACCTTTCTTAGGGTATCTTTGGGTTACACCTCTTTGAAGGCGTCCCTCCCCCCTACAAAAATGCCTATCTTTTGGAGTACTTTGAAGTAAAGAAAAGTAAAGAAAACTGAACACACTCCGATTTTCCTTAGGGTGTCTTCGGGCTACGTCTCTCCAAGGACGCCCCTCTTCCCTACAAAATGTCCATCTTCCGACTACTCTCGTGCCTCTTGGTCGCACATGTACTTCCTCAGATGCTTTGCATTCCAAGTCTTGCTCACACGTTCTGCCTCCATGGTGGCGAGCTTGAAAGTGCTTGGTCCTATTACCTCCCTTATGACAAAGGGTCCTTCCCATTTAGCGGCCAACTTCCCATGATTCGGGTCAGGACGGAACACCTTTCTCAGGACAAGATCTCCCTCTTCGATGTGATGTGGCCTCAGCTTTGAGTTGTAGTATTTTGCCAACTGCTCCTTATCCTCCACCAACTTCTTAAGTGCCTGAGCTCTTTTCTCGTCTAGCATGTCTAGTTCATGAGCCATGCTTGCGTTGTTTTCCTCGCCGAAACATTGGACACGTAAGGTGGGCAACGCAACTTCCGTGGGGGTTATTGCTTCCGCACCGAAGGTTAGGGCGAATGGGGTCTCGCCTGTGGAGCTTTTGGGGGTGGTGCGTAGTGCCCACAGTACGTGAGGGAGCTCGTCTACCCAATTTCCTTTCTGCTCATGAAGACGCTTTTTCAGTCCTTGAAGTATGGTTTTGTTTGCCGCCTCTGCCTGTCCATTTGCTTCTGGGTATGCTACTGATGAGAGCTTGAGCTGGATATTGTAACTTTGACAGAAATCTGCGAAGGAGGTACAGTCGAACTGTTTGCCATGATCAGTGACAATAGAGTTTGGGATGCCAAACCGTGCAAGTATGTTGTTGAAGACAAATTTCTCGACTTGCTTTGCTGTAATGGTGGCCAGCGGCTCAGCCTCGATCCACTTTGTGAAGTAGTCCACTGCTACTATAAGGTATTTCCGTTTTCCCGATGCTTTGGGGAAAGGACCCACCAGATCCATTCCCCACTGGGCAAAGGGCCAAGGACTGACGTTCCCTTGCATTGCGGTGGCTGGAAGATGGTGCTCCTGGGCATGGGTTTGGCATGCGTGACATGCCGCAGCAAATTGTTTTGCATCATTTCTCATGGTTGGCCAATAGTACCCTTGCAACTTGAGTGTTCTTTCCAAACTTCTCGGCCCCCCATGTCTCCCACACACACCCTCATGAATTTCGCGGAGTGCCCACTTTGCTTCAGCTTTTCCCAGGCACCTGAGATATACTCCTTCGAACGACCGCCGGTGTAACTCCGAGCCGATAATGGTGCAACGTGTCGCCCGCCTTCTTACTCCTGTGGCCTCTTTTGAATCTGTCGGAATGGTACCATTCATGAGGTACTCAACGATCGGCACCCTCCAATCTTGCTCCTCTTGATTGACGTTAACACTGTTTACTCCCATCTCCTGAGCGTTCGGGCTTTCCTTTTCGACAATTACATGTCGTTCCTCTTCAAAGTCGACGGCTGTGGCTAATTTGGAAAGCGCATCCGCGTGCGCGTTGTCACCTCGCGCTATATGAGAGAGTTTCCAATCCTCGAAACCTTGAGCCCTCTTCTTTGCTTCTTCCACGTAACGCAGCAAACAATCTTCCTTGACTTCAAACTCCCCCAGCACCTGCCGAACCACCAATGCGGAGTCGGAGAAGACGTCTAGGCGCCTTGCCCCTAGCTCCTCTGCGATGCGCATTCCGTTGATAAGTGCCTCGTATTCTGCCGCATTGTTGGTTTTAAGTGTTGAGAATCGTAAGGCCACTTCGTGCGTGACTCCCCCTGGCGTTTCCAAGACTATGCCCGCGCCTGCACCTGTCTTGCTTGCCGCACCATCGACAAACAGCTTCCACCTTCCTTCATCGATCCCCGTAGGCTCGATCGTTCCTTCTGCCACAAAATCTGCTAGGACCTGAGCCTTAATTGAAGGTCGAGGAGCATACTGGATATCGAACTCACTTAGCTCGACTGCCCATTTGGTTAGACGTCCCGAAGCACTTGTGCTGTGAAGAATTCTTTTCATTGGCAGGTTAGTTAGTACCGTGACCGTGTGTCCCTGGAAATAGGGCCTCAGTTTCTGGGCGGCAGTTACCAATGCCAGGGCTGCCTTCTCGATGGCTGGGTACCTTCTTTCAGTTGGGAGAAGCGTCTTACTAATATAGTATACCGGCTGATCTGCAAGATTTTCAAGGTGACGCCTAACAAGCACCGCACTGATAGCCACGTCCGATATGGCTATGTAAAGGAACAAACGTTCTCCCTCCTTTGGAGCTACGAGGATGGGGGGATTCACTAGCAGAGTCTTCATCTCTTCGAACGCCTTCTCACATTCTTCCGTCCACTTGAATTTGGATTTCTTCTTTAGAGAATTGAAAAGTGGGGCGCACCTATCCGCTGACCTTGGGATGAACCTGTTAAGAGCGGCGAGTTTACCTGCCAACGCCTGAACCTCTTTTACTGTTCTTGGTGACTTGAGTTCGGAGATCGCTTTTATCTGCTTCGGATTAGCCTCAATACCACGGCGAGTGATCATGAAGCCTAAGAATTGACCCGCACCTGCTCCGAATACACACTTGAGGGGGTTAAGCTTCAGATTGTGACGCCTCAGGTTCTCGAACGTCTCCCTGAGGTCGCTCAGATGGTCACCCTCTTTCTTGCTCTTGATTAACACATCGTCTACGTACGCCTCCACATTTCGTCCTATCTGCTCTCCAAATACCTTGTCTACCATCCTCTGATAGGTGGCACCCGCGTTTTTCAGACCAAATGGCATCACTACATAGCAGTAGTTCCCGTATGGGGTCATGAAAGCCGTCTTCTCTTGATCTTCTTCGCTGAGAGGGATTTGGTGGTACCCTGAAAACATGTCAAGAAAGCTTAACATTTCGTGATTGGAGGTGGCATCGACCAGCTGGTCAATTCTTGGTAAGGGGAATGGGTCTTTCGGGCATGCTTTGTTTAGCGAGGTGAAGTCAATACACATTCTCCATGTCCCGTTGTGTTTCTTGACTAACACTGTGTTTGCCAACCACTTCGGGTACTGCACCTCTCGGATGAATCCTGCCTTAAGTAACTTTTGTACCTCTTCCATCATGGCCACCCTCCTTGCCAACGATGCTCCCCTTCTTTTTTGCTGTACTGGCACACTTTCTGGTTTCACGGAGAGCTTATGTTCCATAAGGTCTCTGGAAACTCCTGGCATGTCTTCAGGGCTCCAAGCAAACAAGTCTGAGTATTCCCGTAGCAAGTTGATCATTGGGAGGCGCATGTGCTCTGGTAAATGGGCTGAGAGTCGGGCGACTCGGCTTGGGTCATCGGGGTCTAGTGGCAGCTCAATTTCTGAATCTACCGCTCCTGGTCGCGGCACTTCTGTTGGCCTGGCATCAATCGTGTGTATTTTTGGCTTGTGTAGGGTTGCTGCATAGCACGCCTTCGCTGTCTTCACATCTCCTCTGGCTATTCCCATTCCTTGGGGTGTTTGGAATTTCATTGCTTGATGACAGGTTGAGGCTACAGCTCCAAACTTAGCTAAGAAAGGCCTTCCCAGAATGGCATTATATGCGGACGGGCAATCGGCAATGTGGAAGTCCACTGGATGTGTAGCACTTGGCTCCTCATCTCCTACCCTGACTTTTAGGCGCGCCGTTCCTAACACCTTTACTTTCGCTCCGGAGAAGCCGACAAGTTGGGCCTCTGAAGCTTGCATCACCTCAGGGGGTGTCTGCATTTGGCGCCAACAAGAATAGAAGAGTATGTCGGCGGAACTCCCACTATCCACCAGCACTCTGAACACCTTGAAACCTTCTACTTGTATGTTGATGACGAGAGGGCTCTCAGATGGGCCCTCTGGAGGATAGTCTTGTGATGTAAACGACAGGTCGGGACCATCCTGTTTTGCGATCTTCATACACCATGTGTCGCTTGCTTGCCCCTTGCGCTTCTTCTTTCGGCTAGGCTCCCCTCCCGCGATGGTTCTTATCTCCTTGACGTTTGGGTTGGGGCCTAGGCGCTCCTGTACTGGTGGCCTGGCGACTGGGGAGCGACTGCGTTCCCGCGGGGATTGGTTTCCCTGATCTGCCTTTTGGATCATCTCCCTTACCCCTCCTCGATCGGAGATTATCTTGAGCGCCTTTTTGAAGTAGTGGCAGTCGACGGTTGACTCACTCCTACTGTCACCCTAGAAAATGGCCAAGTATAACCACTTCCTAAAGCGTAGTATAGCGGGTCGG